GCTCAATCCCTGGGAGTGACCTCATAACCATTTTGTGCTTGTTATAGTTTTCATGCTATAACTTTTAAATTAGTAAGTGTATGTTAAAGAAATCTGGCAGATTATCAGTAAACATTACAGGGCTTTCATATGCAAAATATAATTTTTTTTTTTATTAGGTCTTAAGGTTTGTAAAGCAATGTATTTCTCATGCCTTTTTTTTCTTTTTACTTTTCCAGTGTTGCCTATCCAAAATGCAAAGTAATATTCATTTTAAGAATAAAAATACTTTTATGCATCAGAAAATTTTCATATTTCACAAGCAAAATCTTTATAATGTCCAGATAGTTATCAAACGTTTCTTGAGAAAAAACTTTATATTTTATCTGTTATTTTCAGTAATTAATCTGTGTATGGGTTTGGTAGATTTGACTGATCTCGCAACCACCATAAAAAATGAGGAAATAAATATAAATTATGCCTCTTTCATTCTAGAATGAATGCAAATTATAACACGAAACATAAATGTTTAGACTAAATAGCTTAGATCTCATAACATTATACATTTATATATATTTATTATTTTTATTATGTTGACCTTTCAGCCATGCTTGGCTAGCAATACAGAAGTTACAATGACGTGGCTCATGTGCACTCATGTTACCATATCAAATAACATAAAACTGATTTTTGGTCTGTAGAAAGTAACTTGTCTTGGCTGTGTTTTAGTGGACTAGTATTTTTGTAAAATACAGTCACATTTCAATTAACATACATTATATATGTACATAGATTATTGCTAGTTTGAAATAAGTTCTTAAACTTATTTTCTTAACACATAGAAATAGAGCAGTAACTAAAGATGTAAAGCAAACAATTATCTCTTCTAGTTACAATCTTCAAACTCGGTTGCTGCTTGACGTAGGTTGCTAAACTTTAAAAAATTTGCAGATGGAGGATATGAAACAAAATAATTTTTTTAGGTTTTATACATACATTTGAATATCTGAAAAATCATAAATTACTACATTAATACCATAGAATTCCACTATAATTTATCAAGCTGACTAAAGACACACGCTACCTCTTTGAAATATTGGTGCAAAAGAAAGAAATGGTATCAAGCCCATCAAAATGGCTGAGAAAGCCACTAGGGGGGTCATTCTAAGCTTCCGATTGGTTATTCATGTCATATGTAGAAGTAAGTGTATATAAGAGAACATTTCCAAAAATGGAAAGAGGTGGGCAGGGTGCTACTGTGTTTGATTTATTACATGAGCAATATCTAAGCAAATGGAAAAAGAGGCTCTTATTTTAATATTATAGCTTGTCAATATCAGTGATTTGAGTTTCTAATTTGTATGAAACTATAGACTTAGTATTTTGACTTCACAAACATCTAATTTGAACCAGTGCTGCATTCAACATAACATGACACATAAAAATCGATGTTTATCTGTGTTTTTTAAATTAAGAAATTTAGTAATATATAGTACCAAAATTTGAATTATAATCTACAGTTTGATACCAAAGTTACTGACATAAATTCATGAAACAGTAGTTCCATAAAGTTTTGAATACGAGTCAACAAACGAGATGACATGGCCTTTCAACCACGACCAGTCTCGAAAGGGTTAATACAATGATAAGCCAATGTAAGTTAATACCAGGAACAACAACAGAGAATAGACTTACTGTTGCAGCTAACACCCATAATCATGCTGTATTCTACAATATCACTATCTGCAGATCACAAAACCAAATATAGCAGCCTCACAAGAAAGCTGATAATAAATACAGTGGAAAAAGGATTTTTCCAACTTGATTATAATCCATAGTCTTTGTTATTTCTCATGCTGTTTATGAGTACAACCCCTTACTGTACAGCTAAAAGTTGGTTGGTTAATCAGTGTTTATTGGCACAAGGCTATCTGCACCAAACAACCAGTATGAGGTCATAAAATAAGAACAGGAAGAAAAGTAAAATATAGTAAAAAAAGGTAAAAATAAAAGCCAAACAATTCCCAGAAATGAGGTTAAGATTAAATAGGTGTAAAAAGGCTAATGGCCTGTAAAAACCTAAAAACATGATTAATCTTGACAGTGTCACCATTGCCAATAACATAAGGGGTAAATGCTTAGAAAAACCATGCCTAAAATGGTGCTATCAGTTACAGTTGTAACAATGGTACAAAAGGCCACACATTGGCAGATCAGTCCCACATAAAAGAAAACAATGAGTAATGAAACTCTAGCCAATACAGAGCCTTAACAAGACAACTTCCTCTCTCCAATCCTTATGGAAACTAGACAAAAACAACAACAGTAGATTTGATCTGGAAATACTTTTTATTATGTTACTCACTTCAAACTGACTGCCAACTGGCATGAAGCCATGCCTTGATGAGAGGTCTGTAGTCCACGTAAGGGATGGGCAGGGCCATGACAATACCAGAGGAAACAGATTTAGCTCCAGCATCAGCAAGCATGCTCCCATGACTACTGACATGGCCAGGAACCCTGAACAACTGGATAGAAGTAGATGACAAAGAGAAGTGGGCCATTAGTTTCTGATTATTTATGAGAACTGGATGAGAACTCACATAAAGCAATTGCAGGGCCTGCGAAGAGTGTATTGCTTAGTTTCTATGTGATCCATGGCAAGAAAAATTGCATACAACTTGGCAGTGAACACAGAATTTGTAGAGGAGATCCCGTAAGCAGTCACCGAGCCACAACAAACCATGCAGAGCCCATGGAATCTCTTGATTTTGAACCATTCATGAAAATTGGAACAGAAGAATGTTTGGAACATGTTCAGTAGAGAGAAGACAGTATTTCCAATCAGTAACTAAGAGACCAATACATACTCAAATGTATGACCTTGTGTGTAACTGCAACATAAAATTGTGCATATATATATATATGTATACACATGATGTTTCATACAGTTTCTCATAAGAGAATCTGCCAATTTTCATCATAAAATTCCACCAGAGTTCTTAGGAAACAAGGATTGCAAAGTCCTTTCACCCTCATGGTGTAACATAATTTCTAGTGATCATCAACATTCAATAATAACAATAATCATTACTATTCTAGTGTTACATTAAGTAACCTCAACTGCTCTAGATATTATAATAATGCAGCTCCCATGTGACCTGATCTGAAGAACTACCCAATCTCCAATCAGTAATTCTAAAAATGAAGTTTACTAAGTTCTGTCAAATGTTGATCTCATAGGCTAAATTCTAAAAATGAAGTTTACTAAGTTCTGTCAAATGTTGATCTCATAGGCTAATGATTACAATGCTGTTTAACTTTTGCAATCAAGTGGCTACCACAAAATATCACATAACAGGTATTTCATAGTAAAATTCCATTCAATAGCTTGAAATTTAAGAGCATGTGACTCCATTCTTGGCATTAAGAGCCTGCAACAACGTTAACTGCTGAGCTCAAACCACCATCAATGTTATATTCTAGCTGTACAATTGCACCATACATCCAGTCTATAGACTGGAACTTAAAGGATGCTAAGCCATTTTGTTTTCCAGGTTTCCTCATCAATGTATGGCTGTAGTTTGTGATTATCAGGCCATCTTAAATGATGATCAGCTTTAGTCCCAAGCCATAGCAATAGAATTCAATGTTTACATTGTGGCTAATCACCTGAACAAAGAGGTTGCACTAAAACTAGCTCATTCTTCTATGGCACAGAGTAGACAGCCAGATTAGAACACATGACACTTTCCTCTTCATCAACCAGGTTGAGGTAGAATAACACAAGTGTCGTCTTCATTGTCTTCCAACAACATTTTCTTCAACTTCTGATTTTATGGTAAAGCTGAGTACACACAGTGATTCAATAGAGACATATAAATTTGGCATGTTAATATGTTCAATTCACTTTTAAGTATCATGACACTAAAATGATTCACTTGCAGTTTCACAATTATTTGTCACAGTAAGAGGTACAGATTGTTCCAGCCTAAAACTAAGTTTCTTAATGGCTTGCAGGTGCATACTAAAGCAATAGTCAATCTCAAGATTCAATCAAACTTTGATTTCTTTTCTGTCTTGTCAAAACATCTTT